GCTTAAACCCGCTGACACAGGGCTCATCAGCCCTTGGTTTACCTAGCTCTCATTTCTGAAGACTGAGGAGGCTCAGATGAGCACAGCTATCGCCCTTCCTGCCATGCGCAGGGACATTCAGCAGCTGGCTTTCACAGCGCCCTGTGCAGCCCTCCTGGAGTTGCACCACCTTGAATGCTGCCCACCGAGGCTGCCACCTCACGCAGGAGCAGGCCTCCCTCGGGGACTGCCATGTTCCCCTGAGCCACGGGACTCACCCAGCACCGCCTCCAAGAGCCATAAGGAAGTCATGATCAACCGGATCCCTGCCGGACTAGGGTTGCCTACCCTGCTGGCTATGGAGGCCCCCAAACCTCACCTGTTTTCCCTTTTTCTAAAAATGTCAGCTCCTCAAAGACAGACCCTGAGCCTCCCAGTGCAGCTGCCCTGATAGGCGCGCCTTTCTTGCCCTCTCTCTGCTGTGCCTCTCCCCGACCGACACTTGCGCTGGGTGGCCAAGGCTCATCAGCCCGAACCCTGGAGCCAGGGCTCTTTCCCTAAGACCCTGCCAGCACTATGTTCATCCTGGAAAGAGTCTCCCTGAAACTTACTTCTGGAGTGGTTGGACTTAAAGGTAAAACACTTATTTTCTTAGAACAATTGCAACAATTTCATTGAGGGTAACAATGCTTTCTACTCTATTTCTAAGGCCTTTTCACATCCTAGCCTTCAGGTCCCTGACCCTGCCACCACACCCCAGAGCACAGCATACATTCGGAGCTGACCTCCATTTCAGGAAGGAATGGGTGCCCCGCTGAAGGCCAGATGAGATTAACATCCAAATATTCTTTTCTTTGTGCAAAACAACATTATGGACATTCGACACCCCGTCAGTTGGTGTGTGTAGTTGAGAAACCTGGTTCCCTGCCCCCACTTGTAATGCTGAATTCTTGAAATAGATTTGGACCACACAGGCAGCTCTCACCTGACAAATAGAGTAGGTCCAACAAGAGGCTTCATTTCTGGGTTTGAGTTTTTCACTGTCTTAGGGGATACTTGCCCCTGGCTAGTCTACTCAGTGTGCCTGGAATCCTATATGTTTACATTTTAAAAGTAAAATGAAACAATGCTGTAAATGAGGAAACCAGAAAAGGAATGCATAAAACAAAAAATTAATTATATATGTGGATATGTTGAAAGTTTAAAAAGAAGATTTATTTGAAGGAAAGTTCATGGGTAACAGAGACGCTTTGGAAGAGAGGGCTGAACATGTAGGGTTCCTGACAGGGTTCCTTATTCCTCTCAGTGCATTTTCACTCTAAAGAGTTCAGAAGCCCAGTGTGTTAGCGTGTCTAGTCTAACTGTGAAATACGCCTTTCATCTTCCTTGGTACAGAACAATGACTACACCTACACTTACACCTGCCCTGTGTGTCCAGTGCTTGAACGTTACGGTTATTCATGGCATTGGGGTCCCCCCATGGAACAACAGAAAGTAGGACTTGTAAGGGTGACATCCTAGGGCAGTAAAGACAAAGAGCAAATACTTAAGTGGCTCTGGTGAGTCCTGAGAAAGATTTCATATAAAGTGGGGGGGTCAAACAGATTTTGAGAGGAGTAGAGAGGGATGGTGGGGCTTGTGGCAGTTCCCCCAGGGGGTAAAGGGGGGGCTGCAGAGCACGCTGGGCCTGCGCCTATGTGTATATAACTGACCTGACCAGGTGCGCTGTGGCCACGGGGTCCAGGAGGCCAAGGGACTCAAAAGTGGAAATTGGCTCCATCTTGTAGAACTAACCTGAAGAACCCATGTGACTAATGGGAGATAGGCTTTGCCAGATGTTTTCAAATGTTCTCTGTCCAATCCAGTGATATTTTTAAAAGTCAAATTCCAGTATTAGTTTTTCTGTTTCAGATTGTTTAACAAATACCAATTGGGCATTCCCCCGTTTTTCTCTCCTGCTCTGTCATGAACCCATTGCCTGATGTAAGAGATTTTGTTTTTGTGATGGACCTTGAACATGAGAGAGTTATGTGTACGCACACGTGTGTGTGTGTGTGTGTGTGTGTGTGCGTGCGCGCACATATGTGTGTGTATGCATATTTGTGTATGTGGTACATGCGGGGTGGCCTGGAGGGCATAATTTTCTTATGTTTTTTGATGATGTGGAAGAGATTAGTTGTTAAGTAATATTAGTCCCTTTTGTAGATGTAAAAACCCTGAGTTTTCATTGGATACAGGTCCACTTTGAGTAAAAAGCACAGTTGTAGCCAGCAGTGGCAGGAGAGTACAGCTTTCAAGCACCCTTCTTTCTGCATTTTCTCTAGCTAGAAATGCAGGTGAAGCAAATTTTGGTGGTGCTGCTTCTGAGACTGAAGGGTTTTGGATAGTGTCATAGGGTAGAACTACCATATCAGCCCTGAGCTGCCTATCCCAGGCTGTTTCATGGTAGAAAAAGAAATTTGGATGTTAAAATATTGTGAATTTGGGTCTCTGTTATTGTAGCATCTAAACATATGTCTAAACTAGCGTGTGGTAGAAAGAGGGAAACTGCTTAGGTGTTACGCATGGAGACTTGCTCAGAAGGCTGGACTGTGGATGGATGTGTCCTCTTAAGGTGCTGTCAGGGCGTTGGTACTGCCGCTGTTATTACTCAAGAAGTAGCTGAGTCTTGAGAATATTAAAGGTATAAGATTTTTGATAGAGAGCATTTTTGTAAATCTAAAAACCTAAAAAATATAAAGTGACTTCTGCTGTCTCTAACAGAAATCTACTTTGTTTAGTTCAAAATTAACAGACACGGGAGGCGTTGACCATGAAATGTGACATTTGGCCTCATCCCTGGCCTTGAACACCCCCTTCCGTGCACTAGAATAGATAGCTCGATGAATCTTAAGGTAAACTCCCTAACTAAAAGGAGTTGTTATGTCTGGGTTAAAATGAACGGTCTTGTTGCTGTAATTTGTACCTGGGTAATGTGAACTGAGGAAATGAAATGTAACCTCCTGAATGAGACCATAGCTGTAAAACCTATAAAAGAAGAAGCTGCAACCCAATAGGAGGTCGGTCACTGACACTGCTCTCAGTGTGATCGACCTTTTGTCGACAGAATAAACTTAAAAAAAATTTACTTTCATTCAGCTCATCTCTGTGTGTCACTTGCCAGTTCCTTCCACAACTTTCAGTAATGTAATACCTGGAAGGGCATTTGGAATAAAATAATTGCTTTTCACTGCAATTCAGTAAACAATGTATTCCCTAGGAGAAATGATTGAAATCTACACCAGTACTCTTGTGCTAATCTTGGACTAACTTGATGTTTGGTATCCTGTGTTTGTGCACTTCAGATTTTAAGTAGGAAGGATTAATGAACATGTGCACTGACTTTGAGAGACTGTATCATGGAGCAAAGAATTAACTGGGGGGAGGAAGCAGTGTGTCTGTACTTTGCAAGATCACAGATAGGCTTCAAAGCAGAAAGTCTGAACTCTTGGCTATCCAAGCAGTTGATCTGAGGAGTAGTAGTTCAACTAAATTTCTACCTCTCAGCGCCTGTGAAAACCACCAAGTGTCATTTGTAGGTGTGGAAGATATATGGAAACAGAGGTTATCAGAGTTTCACCATGCCTCTGGGCTTCTACAGTAATTCTTATTTCTTCTGAGCACATTATGAAAGTTAAATTCTCCAAGCAAAGGTGAAACTTCCTTACTTAGAATGAATGTATCATCTAATCCACTGAAATCATTAATGCCACCTCCACCCTGACTGAGGTGATGTTTGTGGCCAATGCCCTGTGATGGACTGGGGGTGTGCCCAGCACCCTCCCACTCAGTATGCATCTGGAAGCTCTCCTTTCCTTCAGGCCAGAGCGCCTGTGGCTGGGAGGGTGGGGAGTCTGTGTTGGTGGAAGCACAGGGACGCATATCAATTGCTGGGTTTGTTGGGTAGCACAGCTATGCTGCCCTTTATTTATCCAGTGACTGTGCAGGCCTCGGCTGGGCCGACAGGAGAGCTCTGTATGACACACGTCATTACTGGTTTCAGTAAGAATGGATGTCTGTGAAGGGCATGGCAGTTTACAGCATCCTCTGGGTCATTAGTTTTAATATTGCCAGGAGCTACATTTAGATGGTCCTGGTGTTTGGACCTTCCAGGCACATCCTTCTAACAGACTAAGCAGTAGGATGTGTAGAACTTCTGTTCTGGATCCATGATAAATGGGCCCAGGAATCCCCCAAGCCAGACACACTCTGACCCTTTACTGGTGATAACTTCTGTCGGCTGCCACTATCTAGAGCCCTTGGTCCCATTTTTCTGCCCTGTTTCTTCCCTCCCCACTCCTGCCTGCTAGGTTGTTTAAAGTGGAGTTTTATGTAACAAGACTTTGGAGAATATGCCCAGCACAGGCAGGTCTGTTAGTATCTTTGTTGCTGTTGCTGCTACTCATTTCGTTTTGCCCCAGCTAAACACTAGGTATGTTGCTAATGGTGTTTCAGCTGTCACTTCTGCTTTCGGGTCAGTTACCTTCACCGGCCTATGGATCTTTTTCACAGAGGAGGCAAAGTCTTTTTTATCCTTTGCGACCAGGTCCCTCCATGGCAGACACTGGGATAGGCTGAGCTTTAGCAGCCCCTAGACACCCCTTGATCTTCCATTTGTAGATCACAAACCACCAGGCTTCTCATGGGCACCATGAACCACTTTTTTCTGTTACCAACAGGGATTTTTTTAGCTCATCTTCTGTGACTAATACTTCTTATGGCCCAGTAGTTCTTAACACTGTCTTACTCAGCACTCCCGGCCCTCACTGAATTTACATGCCCAAGTCCCTTCCCATACCTGCCCATCTGTGCATATCTGTTAACTGACTTTTCCTTAATAGAACTGTGAGCGTTTCAACTTCAAGTTCGTGTTGTCATGTCTCTGCATAGACACTGATAAAAATTCACGTTCTTCACAGAGCCTTGCACAAGCTCTTGCCTGTTTTGCACCTCCCTTCCACCCTGGTCCCAGGCCCACTCACCGGCCAGCGAGGAGACGACGGCTATGCTTCCATTGCTCTGCTTCAGCATGGGCAAGGCGGCTACACTCAGGACCACAAAGCTGTGGAAGTTGACCTCCATGGCTTTGCGCACCATGTTGATCTCACCATGAAAAAAAGTCAGAGGAGTGTAGAGGACGTGGTTGAGAATGAGCACGTCTATTCCTCCTGCAGGAGATGGCTGTGTTGAGAGAAACCATTTGGGGTTTGCCATCTTCCCCTTCCCCTCCCAAAAGCTCTGGGGTGACCCTTGGGCAAATTTCAGAGAAGGAAAGAGGAGAAGCAGCCTCACCCATGAGCTTTCCTGCTTCAGCAACAAATTGTTCTGCAAAGGGCATGTCTTCCATGTTGCCAGCAATGTAGTGTGCAGAGGCTGCCCCGAGCTCTAAGCAGCGGGATACCACCTGCAGAGTCACGACAACAACATCAACGGTTGACCTCGCTGCGGGCTTTTGGGTACAGTGTTTGAAGCAATTAGGGCTTAAATGAGAGATTGTTCATGTCCCTGTTTAAATGAGAAATGGTGTGTGTGTGGGGGGGGTGTTCACTGATCTTTCATAAACATTGTCCTTAGAAATGTTTTCTGAAGGATGGTAGAGCTTAAATGGATAAATCATTACTGTGCCAGGGATTAAGTCTGTGACCTGTCCTTGTAGTGTTTGTGAGTAGATGTTTCTGAATGCACCATGGGTATAGGCACTGGTTTCCAAGCGGATAGCTCCAGGTCTGTGAATGTTAGTACCTACCAGTCTTGTGAATCCGTGATGGGAAGTGTGCCTCAGAGTCCACATAGGCATGAGGATGTGGATTTGTCAGTAAGTACTGGGTTTTCAGTATCAAAATACAGTTAAATACGTATGATCCCATGGGTAAATGTACATGAATAGGTATGAATGTGACCATATACAACTCAAGAATTTTGTGGCTGTGTGTGTGTGTGTGTGTGTGTGTGTGTGTGTGTGTGTACGGACAAATGCTTAAATGCATATTTTTATATCCCTGTGGATGTTGGCTGTTTGAACCTGTACATGAGAATGCAAGATTTAAAGAGGAAGAGACAGAGAGGAGATAGAGGAGATTGCTGGCTTTTGTGTCCATCTGTGAGTAGATGTAAGAGCACAGTCGGCAGTGCAGGGGCGTGGGCCAAGGGCGAAGAACCCTCACCTTCTGAAGGGCTTCTCTTGACCTCGCTGTCAACACCACATGGGCTCCCATCTTCGCCAGGTGATAAGCCATTTCCCTTCCAATCCCCTTGCTGGCCCCTGTGACAATCACTTTCTTTCCTTGGAGCATCTCTGGGGAAGACCACAAAGAAGTGAGGACCACACTGCACTTGGCAGCACTGTCCCCCCATCCATGGTATGAGGAGTCTCGTTTCATGTCACAGTTTTAAAGGTTAAGAGCCAAGGTCAGCGTGTGTCACTGAAGGAGCTGCTCATCATTTATAAACAAGCTGTAGAGGGAGGTTTGGCCTGTTTGCTCAAAACCAAGACTGGCTCTTATCTGTCATTTCCAGAATCCTCCACGTGTGAGAACATAAGGACAAGGCCAGGAAGGAGGCGGTTCAGCTAAATTCTGGCATCCCAAACATCAACAGACTCAGCTAATTTGATTAGTGGAAAGAAAACTTAAAAAGTAATCGAAACACACTGATAGAGATTCCAGGGGTTTTTCCTCCCTCTACTTAGTCATCAACCCCAGGATCCTGTTTTGTCTCCTGATTATCAACCTTTCTATTGAGCCCCATTTTCTGGTTGCCTTGTGAATTTGGGAAAATACCTTTGTTTCTGTGGAGGATTTTAATTACTTCTCCTTCAGGTGCCAAGTAAAGCTTGGACTATTTGGCAAGCTTTGGGTTGCACGATCACCCTCCCCAGGTCCCTCCTACCCACAGCCTGTGGCTGGAGAACACAGGCATGGCACCCCACTTTCAGGTTCTGTCTTTTTCAGCAGCACCAGGGATCAGGAGCACATCTTGATCCTGAAGAAGACTTTAGTGCCCGTGTTTTCTAATCTATTTTACCGAAATGAGACACATTGGTACTTACCTGGTCTGAACTCCTCATGTGCAGAATAGTAGTAGTAGGCCAAGAAGACCATCAGAATGGGGAGGAGGTATTTTTTCAGAAAAGCCATCAGAAGGGGACCTGGCCCGAGGAGCCCTGTAGGACACACAGAGAGAACCTACAGAGCTTTCTACAACCTCCTAGACGGGCAGCAGCCTCAGAATTGTGACATCAGGGACGGGGAAGCTGGAGTACTCTCAGGCAGCGCTAGCCAGTTTCCCTGTCAGAGCAGTGATTGGCTTTGGGTGGGATCCCATTTGTCCCTGGCAGCCTGCGTGGTGGATTTCATAATGGACAATGTTTACTCCATCTCATTGAGCAAGAAGAGACTTCCAGATGGCCAAGCTCATGACTGTACAAGACTGGATTCCCGAGCATCCCTGCTTGAGCCCGTCTTCCTCTTAACACCATCTGTGCCAGGGATCAATGGCCTTTCAAGGGTGGTTTGTCCCAGGCAGGGAGAAGGAGAGAGAGAGAGAGAGAGAGAGTACGCGAGAGAGCGCGCGCATGCGGACTTCCGGGGACATATGAGTAACAGCAGCAGGAGCCAAGTGCAAGCCCAGTCTCACCCTCAGCCCCACCCCCAGTCGGAAGCAATTAAAAATAACAGCACAAGGCAGTAAAATAAGCTTGAGAATAAATGCACACATGTTGGAGAAAAAAATAAATGAAAGCAAACAAACCTTATAAACCCCACACTCAAGCTCAATGAAACAGTATTACAACATCAAAGAGAATTTGCAATCCAGGCAGAACCCAGATGGCGGGAAACCCAAGACCAATTCAGGACTCACAGTCAAGTGCAGTGGAACACACACTTATTACTTTAACAGAGAATAGAGAACACATAATGTGTGCCCAAACGAAAAAGGCAGTAAGCTGTTAAACTGGGTCATGTAAATGCTGTAGCAGGATGAGAAACATGAGGAGGGTTGAGGAAGAGGAGCCGTGGTGCAGGAGGAAAAAACACCCAGTGCTCTTGAAGCCAACTAGCATGCAGCGAGCACACGGCAGCTGGAAACAGACGGAGTAACAGTATAAGGGCAGGGAGGAAACCCACAGCAGTTTAGAATTCATTATGAGGGCAACGCAGGAGTAACTAGCTAGGCATATCTGTAGCAAGAGAAAGACTTTAGTATGTGTCATTGTTAAGTTTTTGAATTTAAAACCAAAGTCAAATCACAGATGTTGTCAGTCACAAAGCATATACTATTCTGTAAATTATCAGTGTAACAGAGGTACAGTCTTACATGCGAAATAAGACTGAGCATCGGTGGTTTGGAGGAGAGATGGAGTTGGGATGGGGAGGGCTGGATTTACACAAAGTTAAGATAAACTGAATTATTACAGCCCTAAATACAGTCTCTGGAAACAGTGAGCTTTCACTTCAGAGTAAGCGAAAACAATTTAAGACCCAGAGGAGATGAAACAATTTGTCAACAAAGGTCCACAGCTGTGAAGTTAAGTTCCAGAAAGCAATGACGATTGGAAAACAGTGGAGAGCTAGACAGAGCTCAGGGTTCATGGAGGCCAAAAATAGGATAAAGATAAAATTCATGTGAAAATTAGATAACACCCTGTTAGCACTGTGAGAAGAATTTGTATACTTTTAAATAAGGGACTTATGCAAACAAGATGCGTCACACCCCAGACTCCACTTTCACCCCCTTGAGGAAGAAAGTGCAAGGTTAGCCTCTAAACCCTCTACTGTTACAGTGAAACTCGGGAAACACTGAAGAGTGGCTTCTGAGTACGATATTGTTGAAAGGATAGAAAGGTGGGCGGAATAGGGAGATTTGTTCTCTGAACTTCCCCAAAAACAATTGTAAAGGCCACTGCAGAAAATGTAACTTTAGAGTAAGCAAAAATAATAAAAGTGAGATAAAGTTCAGGGTAAGAGAACACAAAACGAAATGATCACGGAATGTTGGCTCAATTAAATAAGGCCGAACATTGTGTAACTTCACAGGGCACCTTTAAACTCAGTGACACGAACAGATTAATAATTAGATGCCCTAGTAGCTATCGTGCAATGGAAGTAGGAAAAGCATTCAGTAAAATCATTCTCATGGAGTTAGATGGAAATTGTTACATAAAATGGACTGATGAGATACAAATATGTGTAATGTAATTGTAGTGATAAATCTCAGTGGTTCTCAAACACTTTGGTCTCAGCTTCTCTTGATACCCTTAAAAATTATCATGGACCTCCGAGGACCTGTGCACATATCTTTTCTCTACAGTTACTGGTATTGATATATTAGAAATCAACACAGGATTTTTAAAAACTCAAGAAAACTCTCCATTAGCAGTCAGACAATGACCTTATCACATGTCCTGTGGCCTCTAGAAAAGTCAAATAATGCCTTAGTGTGATTATGAAAATAGTTCTGATGTTTTAGACTCTAAGAGGGTCAGGGGGACCCTTGAGGGCCATATTTTGACTGTTACATAATAAACACCAAGTCCACCACATGTCTGCATTTACACAGCTGGTTCTCTCATTAGTTTGTCAGCTCCAGGAGGACATAGCTTCTGTCTTTTTTATTTTTGCATCTCTCCATTCCCTCAAGTCTCATTGGAAAATAAAAGCTTGTTCAACCAGCTTTTGCTGTTTTAGTTCAGTTTCTGAAAGGCTGTAGCAGTATGAACATTGCCATCTTTCTGGAGCCTGGTTTAATCCATGGAAATCACTGAGATTCAGTATTCTGAATCAAATCCACAAATCAAACCCACCCCCAAAGCCTTTTTCCTGGGATTCTCATCAAATTAAGACAAAGCAAAAAGGAAATTTGGCAGTTTCACCTTGCGGCTGTCTTGAGCTACACTCTTCTGGATCCACCCGTTTCTTTTCCTTCCGTAGCGAAGGAAGCTGACTGCTGGCCCCACCTCAGCTCCTCCTCCTCAGCCACATGCTGACCACCTGTAGTGTAGGACAGGTTTGGAGGGCACCTTCAGTGCAGCCCTGCGGTTTGCAAATACTCGCACGGAGTGGCTCCTCCTACTGGGAGTATACAGAGGGCCTGGCTGGGACAAGGCCTTTGATTACTTGAGCCTTGACAAGAGTGGCTGGGGTAACAGGAGAGGGCCCTGTGAGGACGGCCAAGCTGGAGGATGAGAGGAGATGGTCATGCGTGTGAGAAGCGGATGGTGATTTCCCTGCATTCAGCATGCAGGGACGCCGGTCATTACTGAGGCAGTGGCTGTGCCACTTTTCATGAATTTTGGTAGCTTTGTTAAGAAAGTGGCCCTGCATTTTTGGAAATGAGTCCTGCTGGCGGTAACCTCAGAGTAAAAGAGGAGCATTCAGAGGTTCTGCCTTCCCAAGGGAGAAGGGTATCAAAATGTTGGAACTGGAGAGAAGCTAGCTTTATATCAGAGTATGAAATTCTCCTTTTCTCACCCCACCCCCGCACCCGTTTTCTTCAGGTTTGATTTTTGGAACTCATAAATCTACCACAGCTGCCAAAATCTGTTCCCCATGACAGGAGAAAAGTTACTGTTTTATATAAGTTTATCCAGCAACAGACTCTTCTCGCTTTCTTCTTGCAGCCCTGGAGGATTGATCCTAGTGCCCCACACTGGGCAAGGGCTCCACCCCTGAGCCTTCCCTGATGTGTCTCATGAGGGAGGAGGTTATATTTGTCAATCCTTTTGCTCAATCCTACTCCCCCTAGGACAGATTCCCCCATGTTTCCTACCTAATGGCAACTCAGGTCTGGGAACATCAAACGAGGTGGAATAAATCGCTACCCCTAGCAGGCGTGGCCTGTGCAGCGGGACCCCTGTAGGAACCAGGTTGCCTGGGAGAGTGTGGGCTCCCCGCTTTGTGAACAAGTTCAGCTGGATCCCTGTCCCCCAGTGTGGCCGTGCCTCAGTGATGGTAACCCCCACTGCAGTAGGAGCTTTCCAGGCTTTTCTGGTTGAGCTTTCAAGGTCTCACGTGAGACACCCCAGGAAAGGGGACTCACCACGGTGGAAACACATCTCCTTGGAAAGTTTGCAGAAACAGCAGCAGCATAGGGAGCTGTGGGAGGGACCACTGCACTCAGCCCCTTGAATGCTCTGTTGTGTTGGCCAAGCAACTTGCAGCAGGCCCATCAAAGTGACAGAACAGGTACAGCCATTGAGTTTCTTAGTGTGCCTGTGACTTCAGAATTAGAGATGCACTTCCCTCTGGTGGGAAATGGGATTGCCAGACTTAACAAGCAAACATGTACGATGCCCAGTTAAATTTGAGTTTCAGAGAAACAATGAATACTTGTAAAGGATATCTATTTATCTATCTGTTGATCTATCTGTCTCAGCTATTGAGAGACTCTCACTGATATACTGACACATTTATCTTTGGTTATCTGGAGTTTAGATTAACTGGATGTGCTGTGTTTTGTTTGACAAACTGAGAAGTGAGGTATACCAAGAGACCACATTAGATGTGGGCCATGGCTTCCAATAGCCATCTTAGTTACCTTCCCCACAGCGGTGTCCAGCAGTCTGGCCACAGACAACCCTAAAGGGCTCTAAGTAGGAAAGGGTATGCAGCACGTGGTGACTGAGTGAAGATTCATCTAGAGACATTTATTTAGTGTGGCATTTGCCATGGGTCAGGCGCAGTGAATGAAACAGAAAATGAAGCTGTCTCCAGACCCTCGACGAATACAGTGTGAAAGGAAGTGTGCAGTGTCACTGTTGATGTGGATGGTGTGGGCGGAGAGAGGAAGAGTCTACCCTATGTGTAGGATGGGCAGGTAGGAAAGGCTTCTTGGAAGAGGTGGGCCCTGGTCCACAATGAAGAATGGAAGCAGCAAGCACTGAGCGTGTGGAGGAAGGGAGGGTTGGGCGGAGAACTTTCCGTGCAGAATAGGCTGTGAGTGAAAGTGGAAGGAGGCGTGACAGAGAATGGCATGTCTGAGAAACTCCAAACAACTCATGGCCGGATCCCTGATTGCAAGGTGGGAATGCAGGCCGAGGAGGACTCCTGGAGAAGAAAGCAGGGACCGTGGTTTTGAGGGTCTTTACTATTGGAGTGTGTAGGTCTGGCCTCTTATTTCCAGTTACGAAGCCCCCAAACTCTGCAGTCTCTCTGTCCCCACCCAGAACTCTGCATGTGCACTGGCCGATCGTCCCTCCTCCAGCCTGATGTGGAAAACTGTGGATATCCTGTACTCTCCAGGCTCATCCATCCGGCCCACGGTCCTGTCAGCATGTCAGGTCCCTGCCATGCCGTTCAGGTGTGGCCTTGTCCCTGAGGATTTGCAGCCTGCCGGAGCTATGCCCAACAGTGTTACTGGGTTCGCCCAAGCCCACATGGAATTTGCTACCATGTCTTCCTCTCGTTGGTTCTGTTACATTTACTTCACTGCTCAATAGTCTCTGCCATGTTACTTCTCTGCCCTGTCCCTAGACATCCCTTCCCTCAGCCTCTGTCAATCCGTCTTCCCTAAGTTTTCTACCTACTTCTTGGACTGCTCTCAGTTTTCTTTATAGACTGTTTTTCCCTTTAGCATTTCTTCGAAGTTGGAGTTGGCCTCCATCCTGGCCTCACTCATTTCTTCTCTATTGCCCCTGGGTGATCACCCTCACTCTCCTAGCTTGTAGTGCTGCCTTTACACTGATAAGTCCTAAAAGTCTCTCTCCTGTGAATCACTTCATCCTAGCTTCAGGTAGTATGTTTACCTGTCTGTTCACCTCCTTTTGAATGCTTCTTAAACATGTCAAAATCAGCATGCCAAAACTGACCTGATTGTATATAACAGTGTTTTTGAAGTACAATTTATGTTAGAAAATCATTGCATTTTAGAGAGACCCCAACGCAGAAGGAGGTGGCAAGCAGTGCTTTCTCCAAGCTATGACTCACTGCATAGGAGGAGCGGCTTGCATGGTGACTACTGATGACCCCAGAGCCCTCCAGAGAGAAATGCATCAGTGGAACAGAGCAGTGGACATGGCAGACTGCAGTGACTGGTGAGTTATTTGGGTTCGGCCATCCCTCCGGAGAGGGCAGTTGGCTGGTAACCATCACGGAGGGAGGCCGGCTCAGAGCAGCCGTGGACTGGCTCCATCTGGCAGCTCCCAAGGTCAGAGTGAGGTAGAACCGAGTTCAAGATCTGTGCTCTTTCTGCCCCTCTGTCTACCAGTGACAGCAGAGACTACCCTGAAGTGTGCTTTTTTCCCTGGATGGTTTGTTCTTGTTTTCATGTGAATGTGAATATCATTTTCAGATTTTTGTTGTGTTCTGTTCTTGTTTTCTTTCTCTCTTCTCTCTTTTCTTCTTATCATCTTCACCAGTTTCCAAAAGTTTGTGTAATCTTCTTTAATACATGAAAAAATGTTCAACAGCACTGGTCATTGGAGAAATGCAAATTTAAACAATTCTGTCTCACCCCAGAAAGAGTTGCTACCATCAAGAAATCATCCAATAGCACTTGCTGGCAGGGGTGTGGGGAAAAAAAAAACACTTCTCCGCTGTTGGTGGGAGTGTAGACGGGTGCAACCACTGTGGAAATCAGTGTGGGTCTTCCTCAGATGTCTGAAATTAGAGATTCCACTTGACCCAGCTCTTCCTCTTCTTGGTATCTTCTCAAAATAATTAAAAGCATCACACCACAGCGACATGTACACACCCATGTTTATAGCAGCACGCTTTGTAATAGCCAAGTTTTAGAAGTAGCCCAAATGCCTATCAACCAATGAATATAGAGTGTGGTTTTTTAATACAAAGGAATATTACTCAGCCATAAGGAAGGACAAGCTTGAGACATTTCCAGCTAAATGGATGCAGTTCGAGGCCATACTCGTAAGTGAAATAAATCAGACACCCATGTTTAAATATCAGATTGTTTCTCTGGTGTTAGAAACTATAAGTAGAAATAAGAACTGAAATGCATAATAGATATTGGAAAATGGGAAGAAAATGTTCAAATGAGAAGGGGAACAAGGGAGGGAGGAGGGAGAAAGGAAGGAGGGGAGAAGGAAAAAAATACAAGGAAAAAATAGAAACAAAGCTTTTTTTAAATAAGGAAGGGAAGGGGTTGAAGGGAAGGGAGGGGAATGGGAAAAAAGAAGGATGATGTATCACGGACAGGTGCAAATTCTCTGCTTAATGTGATCATTATGTGTGTCTAAAGTGCACCAATAAAAAAGAAAATCAATGCATTTTAAATGTATAATTCAACGATTTAAATTTATTTACAACATTGAGATACGATCACCGCCACCCCATTTTAGAACAGTTCCATCACCAGAAAAAGATCTCTCCTGCCACCTACCATTCCTCTTGATTGCCTGCGATGGCCACCCGCTTCCTGTCTCCCTGGGCTTGCCTTTTCTGGACCTCTACTGCATGTGCAGCACAGTCTGTGACGCAGGCAGTTGTGCTTGACTTCTTTCACTTTGCACAGGTTTTGCGGTTCAGTCGTGTTGTGGTGTGGCTCAGTATTTTTCTCCTTTTTGTGGCCGAAGCGTAGGCCGGTGACGGTGACCCTTTCGCAGCTTTCGACGTTGAGCAGCCGCCCACGTGCTGCCGGCGCCCTCCACTGCCGTGGGCTGTGTGTGGCTAGGTCGTCTCTCCTGTGCTTCTGCCCGTGCAGCCCTTCCGCGATGCTGCTGTCGTCCGTCTCTGTGTACGCGTTTTACTCCTCCTGGGTCTACACCCAGGGGCTCCGTGGGGTTGTAACTTTTTAAGAACTGCCAGGGTGTTCTCTAATGACTCTGTCATGTTTATGTGCCATCGCCTTAGTGATGTCCGCTCCAGTTGATGACTTCACCACCCACCAGAAGGCTTGGGTCTCTGTGACCTTCCCTGGTATAACCCATATCCATGATTGTGAATTCCTGTCATTCTCCCTGTTGAGCACGTCCAGGGCCATCTCCAGATTCCTCGTGCTATCGTGACGCCAGCCCCGGCCTCTGCTGTGTTCAGCTTCCCATTCATGTCCCTGTCTTACCTCCTCCAAACTATTTATTTATTCTTGGGCTTTTGAGGCAGGATCTCTCTTTGTAGTGCAGACTGGCCCTGAGCTCACTACGTAGCCCAGGCTGGCCTTGAACTCATGGCGATCCTCCTGCCTCAGCCTCCCAAGAGCTGGGATAACAGGTGTGCACCACCATGCCCGGCTCAAAACCATTTATTCTTAAAGCAGTTATGATGTATTTGGAATGAACCAAAGAGTATATGAAAATGTAGAATTTGTGAAACATAAGAATAGAACAGGAGCCTTGTGGTCCTACCGTCAAACTTAAGTCATGGGTGGACTAATACGATGCAGTTCCCTGAGGCTCCAGCCCACCCTCTTCACAGAACATCCAGTCAGCGCATTTCTCACCTTCAGAGGATGCAGGGTTCCCTACTGCTCTTAGAATAAAGCCCGGAGTCCCTATTTCAGCTTAAAGATTCTTTGTGCTCTTTGCCTTTCTTTCCCAGGAGCTTTCCCGCCCCTACCCCAGGCGCTGCTCCTCAGTCACACTTGGGGAAAGCCCCACCCCGACACCTGGTGCCTCTTTCTCTGTAGTACTCTGCACTTTTATTCTAGCTCGGGGCTTTCCCATCAGAGCAGCCTGGCCTGCGTCTCCGTGTGCACTGGCGCCCAGCACTTCTGGAGTATAAATGGGTGAGGTGGTTCGGTCACTTTTCCTTGTAGGCGCCTGGTAGGTGTTTGGAACTCAGAAGAAGGGCCTAGGCCAGAGACCCAGATTTGGAAGAGTGAAGTTGCAGAAGGCAAAGCCGAAGCCGTAGGAATCCGTGGGGACATCAGGGACAGAGTGAAGACCAAGAGAGGGAATAAGACCGGCTCACCAATCGGGCAGGGGAGGGGAGCCGGCGAGGAGGAATGGGGAGCACTGGGCGCAGGAGGAAACACGGAACCGAGGAGGACAAGCCTCGGCGGCCCTGGAGGGCAGAGGTTGGGGGTGGGCAAGGACAGCACAGGGAGTGGTCCTGGGCTCTGTGCTCCGTCCCAGTGAGCTCCGGCGCTGCAAGTGAAGCGCTGTGGGTCGGGGTGCACAAGGCGTGCGTTTCGTGGACGGGGAGGTGCACGCGGAAATTCTGTCCAGGGCCTGGGTGAGCGCGGGGTGGTGCACCCCCAAGGGCCTGGGGCAGCGCACATCTGAAGGGCAGTGTGATTCCGCGGGAGGAAGGAGTAGCGCTGTCACTAAGATGTTTCCGAGCCTATGCTCTGAGCCAGACACTGAAGCCGCGCGTTTCTCAGCTTGCAAGAAAGGTCGGGTGGGCTGTGAGACAGTCTCTGGAGGGGCAGATGTGCAGCGCGAATCCAGACGACATGGCACAGGGCTCTGGGAAGGGCCACTTCGGAAAACTGCGGAAACCAGTGGATGTTCAACCCTTGCCTCTGCTTCCAAATTCAGTAAGCTTTTTGGCACAGTTTGTTTCCCTCCTTCTATTTTTGGAAGGCAGATGAATGTGGCTTCCCTGTCTACCCATAAATCTTGGGAGTGGGTGAAGAAAAGGCGGAGAGCTAACTTCCGTGTGTGCTTCTTACTTGTATTTCTGCCTAAGCTTGTCCCTCCTAATCTGCATATACTCACAAACGTAAGTCAAGAGAGTCTTTCCCAGGTCCATCTTTTATTTTTGTATCTAATGGGAGTTTGGGGACTTGGCAACTGCCCTGAAAAATGACCTAAGAGGGCGGGAACTGGGGGGATTGCTGGGTTTAGGACGCTGAGAGCTTTAACAGGCGTCTGCCAGCAGAGGGAGCACCCGGGCTGGAAGAGAAAGCTACCAAGGCAGGGATTTAAATTCACACCGGCTTCATTTCTGACATTGTTTTCAGTAGCCCAGAGGCGTTTATGGGTCCAGATAAAAGAGGGAGAGGGAGAGGGAGAGACAGACTCACCACACACAAACCTAGGAACAGCTGCACACCCACAGCAGGGTCACCGATGGCTCCCTCGTCCCGCCCTCACACCCACCGCCTCCATCCAGCTAGGTGCTTTCCAGCCCTCCCTGAATCACCCTGGGAACAAGGGCAGCTTCTCAGACTACTGTCCCAGGCCTGCACAGTACGCCATCAAGGGCAGGAGACAGGAGTCCGTGTCTTGGCCAGGATTCTCGCTTGTCCCCATTTACCCAGGCGCTGGACCTTCTGTGAGCCTCATCTGTGTTCTGCCTCACAAACCCACTGTAACCAGGAACCCTGCTAAGTCAGTTAGCAGGAAACTGCCCCCAACCTGCTCCTCCACCTTATGGGTCAGGTTCTGCTTCCCGCTGGCCGGCCCCAGGCGACTCTGGCCCGCTCACATCTCCGGAAGAATCCTGCCGGTCGGTTGCCCTTCCTGTCTCTCCTTTTGGTAATTTCCCATTCACCAGTCTCCATCTTGCTATAAATTAGCTATAAATCCCAGCGGGTATTCTGTACTAGGGGCTCCTTCCCCTGTGGAACTGGGAGGGGTCTGGGTTCTCTTCACCATGCCACTGTGCAGCTCTGGGATTCTCGGACACTCCCAGGTGGTTCTGAAGTCACCTGCGGACACACTGGAGAGCGGCAGTGTGGGTGAGCAGGTGAGCACTTCCTAGCTTGCTTGAGACTTAATGGCTCGGGGCATCGACACTGTGGCTGGGGAAGCTGCTGCTTTGTCATGAATAACAGCAATTTTTGCTTTTTACTTCCCCATGTTCTGGTTCCACCCAGAGGCAATCACTGTTAAATCTTGATTCCCCCCTGAGTCAATGCCATATTTTTTTGGACAATATACTTTTGTTGCTATTTCTCGATTGTGCAGGTTTAGAAGTTATTTACTGATTTCCTACTAAGGAATATTTGATTTTTTTTCTTTTTGGCAACACAAACATTCATTCCTCTTCTAGGTTTGTAATACTATAATATCCCTATTTTAATGAAGTCATAAATCAGTGTTCATGTTATTGTTATTCATTGTTTATAGCTGAGTTGTGTTGTGTATTATGAATGCATCTTTTCTTCTAGTCTTTACTTCCCCGTGGGAGTTAA